ACTCGACGAGGACAGTCCGGCTCACGGGAACGTGTCGCGCGCCGGCGACGGTTGCGGCGGGGTGTGTGTGTGTACGAAGCGCCGATGGCAGCCACGACCACCGCCCTGCATCGCAGACCGGGCAAGGAGGGGCCTGCTCGCGTTCCGCGGAACAGGAGATCTTTCCCCTCCCCCCCGGCCTGAGCAGCGTGGAAGGCAGCCCCTTGAGTCGAGGGCGGCGCGACCACTGCCCCACCCGCCGCCGCGCCGCCCCGCCCTGCGTCGCCCGCTGCCTCGCCGCGCCGCCGCCTCGCGCCGCCCGCCGCCGCGCCGCGCCGCCGCCCGAGGATTAATAATAATAATTATTACCCGATGATTAGTAATGTGTGAGTGTTTGTGTGTGTGTGTGTGTTTGTTTGCGCGATGGCAGGGAAGGGCAGGGCAGCGGCGAGCGGCAAGTGGCGTCGACGACGCAGCCAGGATGGTGACGCACAAAGGTCAAAGCGCAGCGTGCGCGGCAGCAGCGCCGACGGCGGCCCCGCGCCGCGTCAGCGGCGCTCTGAGTGAGGCAGGCTGCGCTGCACAGCCCGCTGACCACGCTCCCGACGAGCAGCGCGCCACGCGGGCCAGCCGCATGCGACACGGCACACGGGCGGCGAGCCGACACGCGTGTCGCAGTCGTAAACAGCACGGGCGAAGCGCTGCCGGCGCCGGCCCCATGCACACGTACCCATGCACGAGGAACACACACACACATGACATGCACACGACATGCACACGCACACGGACACTTTTCGGTAACAACTTGGGAAAAAAGAAAATAAGCGGGCCGGCGGCAATTGGAGTGATGAGTTGGCATCTGTGGCCTGCCTCCGTCTTGCTGCTCGCTAGCGCGGCGACGGCACTACCTCTGCCAAGGGGCAGGTCGCTCTCGAGACCGCACGTAGGAGCAGCCGCAGGAGCAGCCGCTCGCTCGCTGGTGGCACCTGTCGGCAGCGATCGATCTGCTGCCATTCGGACCCGGTCTGCCTCCGCCGTCATTGGCTCGCCGTCCCGCGGCGCCGCGAGCAGCGAGCGCAGAGCCTCGTCCGCCATCATTGGCAAAAGCGTGCCGCCAGTCGGACGTCTCTCGCGCTGGCTCGCTGGTCGCCTGCGCTGCACATTGGACTACTGCGCGATCGGCGGCTCGGCGGTGCGGCGGCTTCTGCCACGGCGCAGGCCCCTCCGGCGGCTCAGCCTCTGCGATGAGGGCGAGTCGGTAAAGGTGACGCGCTCGGGCGGCAAGCGCATCATCAAGTGCGTCGACCCTCCGGCGGCTGAGGCGGAGGAGTGCGACCTCGACGACGCCATCAGCCTGCTCTGACTCCGGCACGGTGGGCAGCCGAATGGCGGCTGGCGGGCCGCGCCCGGGCGGATCGTATCGGGCGGCGGCGTGCGGGAAGCCGCCTCCTTGTTGTCTCGATGCGTCGCCGTTTGCGCCCTATACGGAGGCTCTCTCTGAGATCGGACCTTTGTTGTCGAGTACTGGCTTCTACCTGCGACCGACCGACCGGCACCTTTTCAGTCGCGGTATGTGGCTCTTACGAACACCCGGAGGTGCCGAGGTGGATTGCTACAGGCCGCGGCGTTTGCGATGAGCCCGATGAGCAGCGACACCGATCTTTTTACCCATCTCCTAGTAGAGGAAGCGGAAGAGGTGTCCGTTTTTGTGTTATTTATTTATTATATTGGGGCTCCTGCCTCCTCGCACCACACCTGTCGCGTGAAGGCGTGTCGCCCAGGGATGTAATGCTGTCGTGAGGTCCGCCGCGACCGGTACATGGACATGGGCACCGCCTGCGCTCGGCACCGGGCCGCACCGGCTCGGTACAACGATAAAATGCGCCTGCGCGGTGCGCCCTGCGCGGGCGGACCCTCTCTTAGCTGGTGATAGCTCACAGCTTATAGCTCACAAATCACAGCGTGTACACACACAAATCACAATGCAGCACCAGGGAACTCGGAACGGTGTGGGTGGGTGGACAGTGGAGCGGGGAGGGAGGCGGAGGGAGGGGGGGCCATCGCGACACGGAGAGGGGCTGGGCAGGGTACACCACACGACAGGGTCAAGTGTATGTGTGTAGGCTCGCCCTGGAGCACTTGGAGCACTTGGAGTGCAGTCAGCAACCGCACATCCAGGGCCGGGTAGCCAATAAATAAACAAAGAAATAGATAGAGACCCAAAACAGGCGGCGACGTGGCATACGAGCTCGTACGTAAAGGAGGCGGGCACAAGTTCCAAGGACGCACGAGCGAGCAATTAATAAACGGACAGCAAAAAAGAGAAAAACACCCTCGCTCTGCTCGCACGCCAATGGCGCACTTCATCACCGCGCCCACCATCCGGTTTGAGCACGCGGCCCTCAGCGCGCCGATTGAGCTCGAGCACCTTCCGGATGCTGGGCCGGAGGTCATGGACGCAGACGGCACTTTTGCCCGCCTTTGGCCGACGGCGCTGGTGCTCTCCAACTGGCTGTGCGAGCACCCGGAGGTGGTCGCCGGAAAGCGCGTCGTGGAACTGGGATCCGGGACGGGTGTCGTCGGGCTCGTCTGCGCCGCGCTCGGGGCAGCCTCGGTGACGCTCACCGACATGCCCGACGCTCTCGAGCTGATCCGAAGGAATGCGGCGCTCAGCCGGCAAAAGGGCGCGGTGACGGTGGCCCCGTGCACGTGGGGCAACGCGGATCACCTCGCCGACCTGCTGCGCGGCGGCGGCGGCTTCGACGTCGTCCTCTGCTGCGAGGTTGTCTACCAGCAGTCTGCCGACGTCCTCACCGCTCTGGCAGCCACGCAGAGAGCGCTGGCGCTGCCCGGGGCCAAGGTGCTGCTGGCGTACGAGTTTCGGTGTGCGATCGTGGAGGACCTAGCCTACTTTGACGCCGCCACCGAGCTCTTCGGAGACTCCACCTCGCACGCCCTCACCGGCAGCGCAACCGCCTTCATGCACAATCACATCGACGACGGCGGCGACGACCGCTGGCTCTACGTTTACGCTGTGCCGGCGGCAGCGGCGATGTGAGCTCTGTGGCGCTCCTCGGCCCTCTTCCGCGCCCGCCTCTCTCTCCCGCCTCCCCTCGAGTCCTCCTCGATCAGGGGGCTTCTGCCTGCAGAAGCAGCCTGCAGAAGCAACCTGCAGGAGCAGCCTGCAGGAGCAGCCTGCAGGAGCAGAGGTCGAGACGCAGGCGCGCGGCAGTGCGGTGCGGTGATTTGACTGGCCAGCCTGCTCGCTCGCGGCGCTTGCGACGCCGCCTGCTGCGGCGCTGTCTGCTGCCGACGGCACATCGTTGGGGCTCTGCTCACAAATCAGCCGAGTGGTCAGCCGTGTGCAGCGTGCCCACGACGATGCGAGGGCAGAACTGCTGTCGCCGACCTCTGCCCCCACATCGGTAGCCTCTCGATCCGTCGAGGAGGCGGCACAGTGCAGACCGCTCTTGTGGCGCGTGTGGGCAAGCTTCTGGGCGGGCGCAATCCGGCGCCTCTGGGCACAGACGATTCAGCACGCCAGTGCCACTCCGACTGCGCAGATAATACTTTACTACAGGAGATGGATAACTTTACCTACAACGCTAAACGAGCGCACATCATAAACAGATCCGAAAAGAAAATGAGCCCCGGGCCCAGCGCCCCTCGCAGGTCGCAGCGCGCGACCGCGTTTGCGTCAGTAGTCAGCCTCTGCGCCCGCACGTGCGTGCCCTTAAGTCGCTCGTGCGTGACCCAAGTGGCCGACTGACCGTGAGTTCAGACGTCAGTGGTCTTCTCCTCGATCACGCGCATCGATTACACGCACACACGAGGATCGCTTACACGCGAGACGCGTGTGCAGCATTGCGTTGAGGATCGGGTGAGCCCTCCATGCATCAGCTCGCGCTTTTTGTGCTGGTTTTGGCTGTATCCGTCAGGTTCAGCCCAAGCAGCCGCATTTTTTGTTTGCAAATCAGAGGAAGCTCCACAACCTTTGCCATCACTTCTGTGCAGTACAACTTGTACATCTTCACGTACTCCGTGCGGGCAAGTGCCACGGCAGCCTTGTCCCGGCGCCGCGCGCGCCTAGCCTCCAACCTCTTGACCACAATCGCCTTCTTCTCATCATGCGTTGCCGCCTGCTTCAGCAGCGTAAGAAACTTGAAGTTTTCGCACGGCGCGGTATCGAGCATCCCTGGCTTGGCGCACCACCAACCCATGACTGCCAGCCTGCTGCGCGCTGACTCCTCCCTGTTCTTGTCGGGCAGCGGGGGGGGATCCGCCGCAGCAACCACCGCCACCGAAGCCACCCAGCAAGCAAGCCAATAACCCGAGCGGCGCATTTAGAACATGCGAAGTGCGATGTGAACATATCTAGATAGGACGTATTTTCTTCTCAATAACTAGGCTGTGAATGATGAATTTGAAATAAAGCTCGAAGTGCTCCAAGTGCTCCAAGTGCTCCAAGTGCTCCAAGTGCTCCCTCGCACGACACTGGTACACCCAGCCTCCACTATTCCCGGTCGGTGCTCTGATACAGGTAATGTGCGGCGCTGTTTCTCAAGAAGTCAAGATGGAAGCAGGAAGCTTCCATCCCGGCGGTGGTTCGAATCCACGTGAGCCGATGGAAGGTGAGGGGGAGATCCGTCCGAGGCTCTGAAGCTCACCCATTGAGGAAGTGAGGGACTGCTCCGGCCCACCCTGATCATGCTGAACAAGTTCCTCTTGTAGCTCGATCGGTCACACCGCCACCGCCGCCGAGTCTCCCAGAGTGAGATGATGGAGGAGAGGGGGGACGACACTGCTTCAGCAGCGTGCACCTCGATCCTGTACCGTGTTTGTGAGGACCCCCCCCCCCCCCCCCCAATGAACACACCGGTGAGGGAGGGCGGGACGGTCGAGGGGTCCCGTACCCTCCGGAATCGACCCTATCCAGTGCTCAAGTGCTCAAGATCCGTTAGTTACGTTCGTCTGCGGTCCAGCCGATTGACGACGGGACGGCCTTGCGACGCTCTGGCGCTATGAGTGGGCAGCCCACTCCCCGCGTAGCCCAAAAGGCAGCAGGAGGGAAAGGCTATGGAGTATACTCGTTTCTGGGCTTCGGCTCGCCAGAGAGTGGGCAGCGGCACTTTGGTGTCTTTGTCATCCCACAAGGGCAGGCATGGTCGGTCACGGACAGCAGTGGCTCCGTCAGCAACGTTGCCGGGCCAAAGACTCTTCGACTTCTGGGCAGCATGCTCACCGAGCTCCGCATTGTCGTGGCAAAAGAATCTGAGTACATAGAGGTAAGAAAGGTGACGGGCGAGAGCGATATCCTTGCTGGTCCACACTCGCTCGTACAGGATCCGCTGCTGCACGTCTCGTGCTTGGTGAAGCCGGCGATATCAGTCAACAAGAACGAGGCGCTGGTAGTCTACCGCGAGTCTGATGGCAAGGGCGGAAGCAAAGAGTCTGACGGCAAGGACGGCAAAGAAGTGTTGCGCGAGGTGGTGCTGGGGCCCGTGCTCTACAAACCCAAATCCGCCAGTCAGTGGACGCACAACTTTTCGTGGCACGGGCACGACTCGAATGGTGACAAGGAGGGGCTGGCGAGAAAAAAGCCGCATGCGCTTCGGTTCACTAAGTTGATGCTCGCGCCGTCTTCCATGTACTACGATGTTGAGAACGTCAGAACGGGGGACGACGCGCTGCTCACTGTTCGGCTCATGATATTCTACCAGCTTGAGTCGATTGAAGCAATGCTCGACGCCACAAACGACCCGGTGGCCGACATGATCAACGCCGCATCCGCTGACGTTATACAGTTTTGCAGTGCTCGCTCGTTCGAGCAGTTCAAGGAGCAGGCCGAACAGCTAAACCGGCTGGGTCTCTACTCCTCTCTGACATCTGTGGTGGCGTCTCGAGGCTTGACCGTGAGCAAGGTGGTCTTTCGGGGCTTCATCGCTCCGCAGCGCCTACAGAAAATGCACGATGAATCCATCGAGAGGCGCACAAAGTTGGTGCTTGAGCGAGAATCGGAGATACAAGAGCAGAGGCTTGCAGACGAGCGGTTGGCCAAGGAGGATGAGCGGGAAAAGGTGCGGCGTCAGATGGAGGTGGCAAAGGCCGAGCACTTGGCAGCGCTCCAGCGAGCGGACTTCGAGGCACGCCAGCGGCAAATGAAGGAGCAGGCGCAACAAGAGCTCGAGCTTGCGACGAGCAGGCAGAGGTTGGAACAGGAAAGTCTCGCGGGCTTGAAAGAGAGCCTCGGGCTCGCGGCGGCCGATCTCGCGTCGCTGCTGGTCGCGCGCGCTCATGTGCCAAGTAAATTGATTCAGGTCGCCGGCAGCGCCACGCCTGTCGTGCACGTGGATCAATAAATCAAACAGCTACTCTTGTGTGCGCATGATTCAACCAATGATAGAGGGAAGTGTAGATGCGAGATTTCGAACGATGTCATGAGTCCACGGCGACACGCCACAGAAAGAAAAACGTGCCATGCGGCGCTCCAAACGGATCGGTGCCGTGAGCCCTGTCCTACCTCCCAGGTTTTGAGAGGAGCTTGGTGAGAGTTTGTGCCGCGCCGCGCGGGGCAGCCGGCGCGCACGGGGGCGACGGATCGCCGGAGATGGCGCGAGAGATCGGCAGCGAGACAGCGACAGGCACATGACGGCGGCACAGGAGATCTGCGCACAGGGCGACCTAACGCTGGCAGCTTAAGCAGCGCGGCGTTAGGTCGCTGACAGCACACCGAATGGGATATGGGCGCACCCTTCCCCAACAAAATCGATGTCTGACAGCGTAACGAGTGCCCAGCGGTGACATCCGTCGGGGTTTCGTTTCCTACTCGATTGAAAGAGAATCGCGTGCCAGTGAGCGGCGGCGGGCGCAGGAGACCCTATCCATGCTCAAGTGCTCTGTGAGAAGTCTGCAACTGGGGGATTAGGCGGGTGTCGCCGAGGGGGTGCAGCTGTCTTTATGCGCGCAAGGAAGGAGGGTTAGGAGGGTTACCCGCAGCTAAAAGCAAGAAAGAAAACAGACAAGCCGAGGGGGGAAAGAAAGAAAGAAAACACACCAGCCAGGGAGGGATGGGAGGATGACGCCACGCCGCCACCCACCACGCATGGATTTTAAGGAGAGGAGTGTGGTGCTCGCAGTCACCCAAGGGAGGATACATGTGCTTGTGCTTGTGCATGTGCATGCAGAATCGAGCATGTGCATGTGGGAGCACTAGGCTAACCCTATTATCCACCTGGAGACCTGGAGCTGGGGCTATGGAGCCTGGGGCCATGGAGGTGGGGGCCGCTTGGGCCACGGCGACCAGCAGAGCCAGCTGCTGCCCAAGAAGGTCGAGGCCTTGGCTGACCAGCGCGTCGTCGCTGTGTCGGCTGCACACGCGCACGGCCTCGCCCTCACCGCCGACGGCGCCGTCTTCACGTGGGGCAAGGGCGAGGACGGCTGCCTAGGACACGGAGAGGACCTGTCGAACCAGCTACGGGTAAGCTGCTGCCCAAGAATTTAAACAAGACAACTCTCTCTCACAGCAGACAGGCTCGACACAGGTGCGAACTGGCGCGCCCAAGAAAGACAAAACAAAGCATGGGCTCCCGCGGGGCATTGAGGCAAGGCAAATGTGTTGTGCCCCGTTTGTGCCGCGATAGCAGGCATCTCCAGGAGAGATGGGCGACGCACGAACACAGAGGCACAGCGCGCACCCCGCCCCGCTCGCAGTGGATCGGACCTTCGTTTTCTTGGGACTCGAGGGTTCTGGCGCGAAGGACGGGAAGCAGAACCAGCTCGCTCGGCATTTATGTCAGACTCCGAGGACCTGCTCAGCCCGGCGAGGGCGGCGGCGCCGAAGCGCTCGACATCCATCAGCGCCGGCACCTCACGCGCCGGCGGCCTCAATATCGACAAGCTGCTGCGCGACAACAAAAAGGCGCGCAGCGCCAGTGCAAGTTGCTCCCCAGCCCCCGCCCTGTCCACACCCGCGCCGTCTCTCCGTCCGCAGCGCAAAGAAAACATCGCCAAGGGCGAGGAGGCGGCCGCCGAGATCGAGCGCAGGAATGGCGAGCGGGAGCGTGAAAAGGAGGAGCAGGCGGCCGCCGCCGCCGCTGCCGCCGCGGCGCCGCGCACACCATCCGGCGGCGGCGGCGGCGGCAAAAGCGACGAGCGTGCAGCTCGGCTGTTCACCAAGCCTCCGCGCGTCCCGGCCCCGCCGCGCTTTGAGGCGGGCGGCTCAGCGGCATGGGAGGACGGCGTGGCGGCAGGGGAAGTGGCGGCAGGGGAAGAGATGCTGCGCCGGCTCGAGGGCCGCGCGCCGTCTGACCCGGAGGCGGAGGAGCTGCTCCTGGGAGGGTGGATCGGCTCGCGCTTCGGCCGCCGCGCGGAGCCGACGGGCGCGGCGGACGGCGGAGGAGGAGCGGCCGCGAGCGCGGAGCTGCTGCGGTGGCTCTTCTTCACGACTTGCTTCGACGCCGACGCCGACCGGTGCGCGGCCGCCTCGACCGCCCTCGGGTCCCTGCTGCAGTGCGCGGCACCGCGCTGGGTCCCCTCTCCCGACGACGTCGCCTCCGCGCTCGTTCTGTGGGGAGCCGACCCAGACGCGCTCGGCGGCGGCGGCCTCGAGGCGTGCGCATAGAGGCCGGCCGGCGGTGCGCATTCCTCCATCATTCATGGCTCACTGTTGGTTGCGTAGGAGGGTGCAGAGGCGCTGCTCGGCGGTGCGGGCGGTGCGGGCGAGGCGAGCGAGGCGGACCTGCGCCTCAATCTCCTCGCCCTCCTCGACGCGCTCCCCTTCGCCACTCCGCACTGGCGCACGCAGCTGCTCAGCAGCCAGGACTGGGCCCTGGCGCTGCTGTGGCGCCCTCGTCGTCGAGCCGCCCTCGATCCCCTCCCGCGGCACGTCCATGACGCGTCCCTGGACGTGTACCACAAGGCGACTCCTCGTCGAGCCGCACGCCGCGCCCGCGCTGCCCGCCCTCCAGGCGTCCGCCACGCGAGATCACGCGAGATCACGCGAGCTCACCCGAGGTTGCCCGAGATCACGCGAGCTCACCCGAGGTCACGCGAGGTCACGCGAGATCACCCGAGGTTGCCCGAGATCACGCGAGCTCACCCGAGGTCACGCGAGGTCACGCGAGATCACCCGAGGTTGCCCGAGATCACCGAGGGGTCGACCTGTCCGCCCTCCAGGACGCCATCAGCGCGCTGATCGGGCCGTCGCCCGACGGGGCCGCCAGCCCGCTCCTCGGTCGCGGCGGGTACGTGCTGCGCGCCTTCGCCTCCGACCTCCCCTGCTCCTCCCTCCTCCGGCTCTGCCAGCTGCTGCCTCCCGGCCACGCCGGAGCCGCGCTCCAGGCATCCGCTTCGCTCGCCGCCCTCCGGATGGTGGTCGAGCGCCACCACGCCGCGCCTGTCCCGCCTGGCGCGGTTGAGGCCGACTCCGCGGGAGGTGGGTCTGCCAATGGCGTCTCTGCCAATGGCGTCTCTGCCGATGGCGTCTCTGCCGATGGCGGGTCTGAGTCTGCCGGCGCGGCGGCCCTCCTGTCCGAGCTGCAATCGCTCGTCGGCAGCGTGGGCCGCGAGCACCGCAAATGGGTGGGCCACTCCCCTCCCCTCTCGCCCCTCCCCTCTCTCCTCCCTTCCACTCGCCCCTCCCCCTCCCCCCCCCTCCCCCTCCCCTCCCCCCTCCTCGCCCTCCCTCCTCGCCCTCCCTCCTCGCCCTCCCTCCTCGCCCTCTCCAGTGGCATCGGGCGCGCCAGCCCGTCCCCGCATGCCCAGGCGAGCCACACCGCGGAGCTGCACGCTTCGCTCCTCCTCCTCGACCTCGCTGTCTCGAGCCACCTCGCCAGCGCCCGCTCCAGCGCCGCCGGCGCCGCCTCCTCGTTCGACGCGCTACGGCCCTCGCTCGGGCTGCTCAAGTCGCACGTCCAGCGGATCCGCGGCACGTACGACTACTTTGGCGCGCGCTAGTGGGCGGGTGAGGCCTCGCGGGCGGCGGGGAGCGTCCCTCAGCATCGACGTGTCAATAGGGCTCGAGTGCGAGTCGCTGCTCTCGTACCTTCAGAACAAGTTGCTGCTCTTTTGCGGGAGCAACGGCGAGCACGACGGACCTTGAGGCCAGCCACCGGTTTCCCTGTGCGTGGGACGCAGCGAGGTGCGACGGGCGCGCTTGGGCGGTGACCGCGCGGGGCAGGATTGTGCGGTTGGAAAGCGGGCGACGACCGGTGGGGGAAAGAGAGGAGAGAACGCGGTGTGGGTCGTGAGGGATCCGGCCGTGTCGCGTGTGACTCGTGTGCCGCGACGCGCGAGCTCCTTGCGTCCCGGGGCCGGGCTCACAGCGAGGAACCAAGAAAGCAGAGAATGTTATATGTTATATGTTCTTGTCTTGCACACGCGGCTCCCCCCTACACAGAACACACGGCTCACCGACGGCGGGTCTGCACAATGACATTGAAAAAAAAAAAATTGCTAACGCGAAAAACCGGCACACCAATCTCCCTTCCTCTCCCTATCCTTTCTTGGAGCTCTAGAGTCCACACCCCCCTGCCCCGGGATCGCGTACAAGCTGAGGCTACCGTAGGCCACACTAGCGTCGCTGGGGGTTCCCTGCCCTAGATGGGAAGCTGGCCGCTGATCCGAAGACCGACTGCACCAGGGCGCCTAGATATACTCAAGGTGAGCGAGGGTGAAGTTACGCCTTAAATGCCTGTCTCTCTACTGTGGACCTTACTCCGAGCTCGACGGCTCCTCCTATTCCCCCACCCCCCCTCCCCCCCCACTCTCTCCGAGTAAGGGCGTGCGCTACGTCCCCAAGGGGGGGGGGACGTGGGGGGGAGGTGTGACTTTTAGGTTGTAGCGTTTGGGTTTTTGTGGGGCACCCAAACGGTTTCGGTTTTCCTCCTTGGTGCCCCGAGTAGAGCGCGATCTCCCCTGGAGTCTGTCGCGCCCGTTCTGTCTAAGCTCGAGGTTCAACCTTCCAGTTGATCCTTATCGGACTGGTGAGGTCTGCCTAGCCGTCGTAGTGTAGTGCCTGGGGTGCGTCTGCGTCGGTGCTACACACACTCGGCAGGACGCTGCTGTAAATCGTTGCTGCTGGTCGTCGCTGTTTGTTAAACGATTTTCGCCACATGGTGTTTTTTCTTTTTATGCTTATGGCAGTAAAAAGAAACGGAAACGTGTGCGGCAGGCGCGGGCTCGGTCGATATCCCATACTTCGACTCACATCTTCACTGCTGCGGTGTGTGCCCGGGGAGGCGCGGCGGCGGGGTGCATTGAGAAGGTCTCAGAATGCAGAGAAGCTGCAGGCGTGCAGAGGCGCGCGCTGCAGTTTCTCTGATCGGGCTGCTGGCGGTGTGCGCGAGACGGCGTGGTGAGGCGTGAGGCAGGCTATTGTAGTGGGGTGCGGGCTGCGTCTAAGCGTATGCGTGCACATGGTGCTGTATGCTGTGTGTGCAGGCAGGCTGACAGGCTGTGCACAGCAGACTGGGCGGATGAGCGAGCGCGCGTGCGGGCGTGCGTGCGCGCCTGGGCCTGCGCGGTGCCGTCGCACTCGCGGCGCGTCCTAGTACAGCCGCTTGTGGGATGCCAGAAGCAGTCTGCAGAGCCTGCACAGGGCGCAAAAAGGCGCAGGTGTGCTGGTGAGGTGTGCTGCGGCGCGCGCGTCGCGGCGTGAGTGGATATGCGGCTTGCTCTGGTAGTGCGAGGGGCGCGCAGCTGGTGCGGGCGGCGCGGGACGGCCATGGGGCGCCAGCACAGGGCAGACGCACATGGCACAGCTCTGAAATGGCGCTGCGCGTGTTTGCGTGCGCGCGGGGACGTACGCGCAGTTTTCACGCGGTGTGCGTGGAGAAGGGCATGAGAGGCGCCGGCCGCGCGTGTGTTGTCGTGTGGGAGTTCGGAGTATGCCCGGAGGGCGGGGTGGTTTAGGGCGACTAGACTTCGCACTGGCGCCGGAGGCCCCAGATATGAAGAAAAGTCTGCACAATGACATTGATTCACGAATGATCAGAGACGTTCAGACATGCGTCGCATATCACACTGTCGACGGGAAAGGGACCCCCGCGACCTGTTCGCTGCGTGGATGGGGCAGGTGAATGCGCAAGCTCAGTAGTGATACGCCGCCTCGAGCGACGAGGGGACGGCCGAGCTGCGCCCACGTTTTGGCCGGGTGCTGCCTCGGCTGCGGCGCGGCTGCGGCTGCGGTTCGCGGCGCGGCATGGGACCGCTTGCTGGCGCGGGGGCGGCGCCTCCTCCGGTGGTAAACGAGCGGCCGCCCTGCACGTTCACCCTCACGCCGGGAGGAAGGCCAGCCGTGAGGCGCTGCAGCACGTCGGGAGGGGGCCCACTCGACCCCATCCGCCCCGGGATCATACCCGGCATGAAGCCCGGCACGAAGCCCATCCCTCCCATCATCCCCGTCGCCATCATCTCTCGCATGAAGCCGTGCACCCCACCCTCGCCATCCTCGTCCTCGTCGTCCTCGTCGTCCTCCTCGTCGCCCTCCTCCTCGCCCTCCTCCTCAGAGCCGTAAGGGCTGCCGCCAAAGCCCCAGTCGCCGCCAGCCGCCTTGCGGACCTTGCAGCGGCTTCGCACCTGAGGCTCGAGCGAGCTCAGACGGAACCCGTCCATGTTGGTGGCGTCGATCGTCACGCGTGGAAGGCTTGCGTCTGCCACCGATGCGCCGAGGAGCTCCGCCTCCGCCGCCTCCGTCGCGCCGTCCGCCTTCTTCTGGTAAAGCTCCGACACGTGCTCCTGCAGCACCTCTTCATACGCGTCGAACTCGTCCATCATGTCGCTCATGTCGTCGCCAGCTTCGAAGACGAAATCGCCGCCGCCGCTGGGCGGCTCGGCGGCCACTTGCCACTTCTCGCCCTTCTCGATCCATCCGCGTCGGCGCGCCTCCTTGGTCAGGGCTTTGACGTTCGTCTGGTCGCGCCAGCGCCTGTCCTCGGCCCGCGCCTCCTCGCGCGCCGCCTCCTCCGCTGCGAGCTTCGTCGCGAGCAGTGCCTCGACAGTCGCCACGCTCGCGCTCGGCAGGTTGCGCAGCTTGAAGGCGCGCAGTTCGTACGCTGCCTGCAGCGAGACCTCGCGCAGCTTGGGCGCGTAGAGGATGTCAAGGTGGCTCGTGCACTCGGAGCGGTGCAGCCGCAGCGAGGTGAGCGACGGCAGCACAGCGTAGTTGCAATCGCCCAGGCAGCGGAACTTGTAGCTGGTGACGACCTCGAGGCGGGGGCAGCGGCTGAGCGAGAGGCCAAACTGGCCCGCGTCGATGTGCCGCTCACCGAGCATCGTGTGCTCCGCATCGAGGACGCGGAGCCGCGGCAGTGCCAGGTGGAAGGGGCAGCACTCGCCTTGGACGTTGGACAGCTCGAGATGTTCGAGCCGCGGCGTGTTCTGCTCGGTGAAGGAGATGCTCCGCAGCCCGACGCACGTGAGCTGCAGTCTAGTGAGCTCGGGAAAGTGCACGCCATCGGCGGCGAAGTCGAGCTGCTCTTCGGGCTCGTCGGAGTACTCACACTCCGGCCCGATCATCAGCTGTTCCAGCTGCGGGAATCGGGCGGAAATGCGCTTCAGCTCGTCCTGCGTGGGCTGCTCGTCGAGCTCCAGAGTCGTCGTGCTGGTCGGCAGCGCATCCCATCCGGAGGCCGCCTCGCGCATGTAGTCGCCCCTGCATATGGGGCACTTCTTGCCCTTGATTGCCTCCTCGCAGCCGGCGCAAACCACCCACGATCCGGCGGTGCAAGTGCTGCAGTGGTGTGCGCCTTGGCCGGCGGGCGGAACGTTCATGCAGATCACGCACGCGGGCGTGTCGGCCGTGGCCTTCGGCTTGGCCTTGGTCTTCGACTTCGTCGGCATCTTAGGGCTCGGTGGGGGTGACTGAAATGTCCGCCGCGGGCTCCTACAGGCCTGCACACCTCACTATCGCGCCATTTTTTGGCGCCTGGCGGCGGGTGGGGGGGGGGCAGGGCGCACGCTATTAGCGCCATCGCCATGCATGGTGCTGCAAGCAGCGCCGGGCGACGCCCGACGGCGGCTTACCGCCTCCCGGTCCCCCTCGGCACACCTCCGCTGCTTAATGTTTGATTGACGACTCGAACCCGTCCTTACAGCTTACTTAGTCTTAGACCTTACCCGTGATGCGTGAAGCTTCCCCGCGCGCGGGTTACCCCGCACACGGGTCAGCCTGCCAGCCACGTATCCACGCAAGCGTGGTCCGCGCGCACATGGCATGCAGGCGTTCGCCAGACAGCGCAGTCCGCAGAGGCTAGGCGACCGACCGGGGTCCGTCCGGGGAAGGACTAGCTCAAGGGCAACAAACACAGCGTCACCAGCCGTTGGCGCGCAGAACGAGTCTGTCTGCGGCCCCCGGCTGGGACGAGTGCGCAACGCGGCCGAAACCCGCTCAATATGGCCGGCAGCTCGTGCTGCCGGCCGGCGGGGTTGGTTGGGGAGTACGGCACCGCCCCTCGTCGGGAGGCGCCAAAGTTGCGGACTCGCTGTCTCGCTGTCTTTCGCATGAGTCGAGTCCCTCAGCTGTGCCAGACCGGCGTGCCAGATCAGGCGGGCGCCGTCTGCTGCAGTCCTGCTTGCGGCCCGTGCGGCGGACGCGGCTGCTCCAGGCGGCCGGGTGGGGCCAGCCTTTGTTGCAGACCAGCCATTCTGCGAACGCAACGCCTTTGCAGCAAACCTGTAGACGTAGCGTGCATCTTGAACAGCGGGTATCTGCCGGCAGGCATGAATGAGAGCCACCGTCCTCGATTCTCTACTTCAGAGATTGACACCGATCAAGACACGGAGGATGTGCCGGAGGATGTGACTGCCATTGAGGCCGCACGCGCCAAGGTGAATTGGCAGTGTCAGCTGGGCAGCACACCATCCAGGGGTAACTTCCACTCCTGCCTTGTCAGGTTGATGTCCCGTTCTATCTCTACGAAGGGCCGGCCTTTGACGACGGAAGCTGGTTCGTGCCCTGCTCACGCGGCGCCAACAGGGCTGCGTACAGCGAGGACCAGTACTCCGGAGAGCTCTTCTTTCTCCGACAGCTCCGGACGCACCGCTGGCGGACGCGCGACCCTGAGAGCGCCCTGCTCTTTGTCGTGCCTCTCTACGCAAACGCAGCGCTGCAGCCGATCGTCAAGGGCTCCGCGTGCAATGGAACGCACTTCCAAGTCCTGTTTGACGCCACCGCTGCTGCCGTCGCCAGCACGCCTAACTGCGGGGGCGCCCCTCGGCCACACGTGTCCAGCGCCCGCCGAGTTGTTGAGACTTTCTCATTTCTCACAACACTGGAAAGACCTGCCCCTTGCACGCCGGGCACGGCCTTTCGGTTCGTGAATGGTCGGTGCGAGTCGTGCTACCAGTCCTCGGCCTTGGTGAGCAGTCACATCCGCTTTCCTCCCGCTGTGATTCTGTGTGAGCTCTGTGTCTTGTTTGCCAACAATACACCTAACACTGGAAAGAGGCAGGGCGTTCCGGAACTGGGCCCGCGAAACTTCCCCTCACCGCTCGGAGCCGGAACCCGCCGAGCTTGGGCCTGCTTTGCTCGTGGCCTGACAGCCCGCGCAAAGCCGGCTGCGTACACGCGCACACGTGCCTGGCATGAAGCGCCCATCCGCCTCCAAGGCCGCCTCCTCGTCGCCGCAAAAGAAGGGCAAGGGCGACGCTCCTCCGCGTCTCGGCTTCTATGACTTTGTCGCCGAGCGGCAGGCCGTGCTGCAGCGGCGGCGGCGCGGGCTCGACGCGTCCGAGTGGACGTCCGACCCGATCCTCGCAAAGGCCCGCTTCTGCAACATCGATCGCAAGGATGACGCGGTGACGCGCGAGCTGCTCACCGAGCTCGAGCGGCCGTCCTGGAAGCTGCCGCAGCAAGTCATGCTCGCCGCTGCGCTGCGCTTCACCGGCAGCCGTCGCGGCGAGGCGCAGCGGCTGGCGCGGCTCATCGACGAGGACGTGGGCGGCGGCGCGCTGGCGGCCGCGCTCGAGAGCAACGACATCAAGTGCGGCGTCGGCACCTACCAGATGACGCTCAACCGCCGGCAGGTCGGCTCGCGGATCGCGTCCCTCGGAGCGGCAGTCGCGGACCGCGTGAGCGAGCAGGGCGCGTTCGGCGACATGGCCGAGGCGTCCGACTTTGTGGCCGAGGCGATGACTTTCGGCGCGCGGCCGCAGTTCTCCGCCAACGAGACGGCCAAGGCCTTCGCCCGCGCCGGGCGTCCTAGAAAGCCGCAGAAGATTGTACCAGCGTGTGGGGGTGTGCTGTGTTAGGACCTCGCGTACGTGCCGGGCGTCTTCAGCGAGGACGCACTCTCCCGCTGCCGGCTCGGGCCCGGCGCCCGCAAGGCCCTCTAGATGCGCACAGCCTGCCGATGCAGCAGCAGCCCGCAGCCTCCAGAGGTGCAGCTCTTCAGGCCTCTCGCGGCAGCACACCGCCCTCCTGCGCTTCACTCGGCCGGCAGCGGCATGCATGTGGGCGGGTCGGCTCGCCGCGCCTGCCCAGCAGCACAGGCACACGCACAGGCACAGGCACAGGCACAGGCACACACACACACACACACGGCCTCCCGCGGATTGCGTTGCATGCGGCAACATCGATTCTGCCACCGTCCGCTTGCAGCTGTCGCCACCCCGCCCACCCCTCCCCGTGCGTGTGTGCCGGGCAGGCAAAGGCCTCGCGCTGGTCCGGAAGCTCGACGAGGAGCGAGACACTTCCGAGAACTCTCCTCGCCTCCCTCCCGCCGCACACACACCCGCCACGCACCAAACCGACACGCAAGGCGAGACACGTCCGCGACACGTCCGCGACACATCCGCGATACGCATGTCGCGGCACGTCCACGGCACGTCCACGGCACTTCGACGACGCCGTCCATGACTTGTCCCCGCAGGGGCTGCCCACCCGTCCATGACACGTCCATGACTCGTCCCCGCAGGGGCTGCCCACCGACGACGAGGAGGCCGTCAAGCAGGTCTGCGAGCGGCTGCGCCGCACGGAGCGGGAGGGGCTCGGCGAGGATCGGCTCGAGTGGATGCAGGCGAAGGACGCAGCCGAGATGGAGCCCTCCGCCCTGCACCCTCCCCCCCCCCCTTCCCGAGCTTCCTCCCCTCCGGTGTGCGCGCAGGCCATCGACGTCGAGCAGGCGCTGTGCGAGTTTGCAAAGTACGAGGCGTACCGCTCGACCGGCATCACGCCGATGAAGCGGTTCAGCCCCGCCACGGGCACGGAGACGCCGGCCGCGGCGAAAGCCGAGGCCGCCGCCTGACGGCGACCCACACGCGCGTGACGCGGACAACTCGGGGCTCTCTTGCCGCAGGACCTGACTGAGTTCCATGCTTTTTTTCAGCGCCGGCGGCGCGATTAGATTCTTGCAGTTCGGTGGCCGCCTTCAGACGATGTGGTACCCAGTTTTGGGGGGTGTACTTGAGATTGGATGAGTGGAGAGCGGGGTGGCCCGCCACAAGCACAACGACCCCTGGACCTTGCGACTCCGCCGCTTTCCTTTGCGCAGCCACTCGGCGCGTTCCCATCGTGTCGCGTTTGGCGACGACGCAAGTGTCACATCCCACTCTTGCAGCACTAGCCGGAGCAGCCACCATCGCACCGCCGCAGCGGAGTCAGAGTAGGCGAGATTGCGCATCTCACCAGGGTCTGCATGCATATCAAAGAGAGCCTCATCAATCAAACGCAATGGCGGCTGTGCTGATAGCCCCTCGACCGCTCCGCCACTGACATCACCACCATCGTTGACACCGTCGTTGACACCGTCGTTGACACCGTCGTTGACACCGTCGTTGACAACGTCGTTGACACCGTCGTTGACACCGTCGTTGACACCGTCGTTGACACCGTCGTTGACACCGTCGTTGGCAATGCTTCTGCGTGCACCATTGTCTCTGACAGAGCTCGGAGGCTGTGGATGTCGCAACGTGAGACGCAATACCCCCACAAACGTGCCAATATACGCCCAGCCTCGTGTGCGGACGCTCAGCTGCACAACGGGGCCGACAGTCGGCGTGCGCGTGAAGCCAGGCGGCCGTCCATCGTATGGTTGGTTGAGCATCGCACACCCAAGCCCGCAAGGCAGGTGTAGTTCGCTCCGCACGTAGCGCCAAGCACGTGAGGTTGGTCGCTCATGGCGGATTGGGAGTGGTGGCGGTTGCAAATGAGTAGAGGGTGGCCTGCTCGACGTCGACCTTCTGATTAGCCACGGCCACAGGGAGCGGCCTCCAATGTCACAAACGTCCCTGTGCGCAACCGACATTCTCACGGGTGGGCATGCAGAATTGCGCAGCACTGCACACGCGCACATGCCATCACAGTGCAAAGGCATGTGTGCACAGCCAGCCATTTACCCACCCACCCGCACCCACAGATGTATATATGCATACGTCGGCTGTGAGAGGTGCACATATGCATATGGCGGCTGTGAAGGGTGCTCACATGCATGCGTTCGCCAAGGGAGGGGCGGCTAGGAGGATTGAGAGGCACCACCACCACAGGCAGAGCTCAGACCTACCTTCCGCCTCTTTTCCACTCGCCAAGGGTCGTGTGAGAAGATACATGTGCCCTTCACCTCGTCGGAAGCCCCCTCCACTGCCATGAGCATCACCACTGCTATGAACATCTTCTACCCCCCGACCGCCGCCTCCACTGCCTCCTCTGCCCCCTCCCCTGCCCCCTGAGGCGACCCGGGATCGTCTGTACGGGCGAGTCGGGGTGCGGGGGACTCCCCACATGCTTAGGAGGGTGGGTAGGAGGTCAACTGCCTCCACCAGCTCATCGATCACCGCCGGCGCTCGGCCTGGGAGAGCAATGATCAGTGGGACCCTCACCGTCTCGTCGTACAGATTGTACTTGCTCCATCGGCCGTGCCCCCCCAAAGAGAAGCCATGATCGCCGTGTAAAACAACTGCGGTGCGGCGCGTGAGGTTGAGCACCTCAAGCGCCCCAAGCAGAGCGCCCACCGTACCGTCGACGTGCGAGGCGCACGCGTAGTACGTACCGATGGCTCGCCGCTGCTCATCGGCCGTGGCCGCCTGCCAGAAGTCGTAGTTGGTCCACGTCACGAGTGGTGGGAGGTGCTCGGTCCATCGTCCTGCGGGCGCATGCGCTGCCTTCCTGATGATGGGCACCACCTCCTCGTGGCACACCCGCACACGTGGTCGCGGCGTCACGTGCGTTTCCACAAGTCCTACTCCAAGGTAGAATCGCCGGCTCGCACGCGCATAGCTCACCAACCGCGCGATGGCTACGCGTGCCCGGTAATTGTCAGCGCTGTACGCGCCCGCAGGCCTCAGCACAAAGGCGGCGGCTTCAGATACTGCAGTGGGCAAGTCGGCTGGCAGTGTCACCGGCGCCGCGTCAAAACCCATGGCATCGTGGTCGCATGCGATGTGGAAGAGCTTCGAGCCGCTCGCGCACGCGATGGATGCCTCCGGTGCGGCACCGCGCAGAAAGTCGACGAGTGTGGGGATCCCTGCGGGGACTGTTGTCCTGAACGCGTCCTCGTTGGTGAGCACCCGTGTCGTCGACGGGCGGCGACCAGTCATAAACGACGAGCGGCTAGGGTTGCAGATGGGCGACTGGCAGTAGGCACGGCGAAACAGCACACCGCGTGCAGCGAGACGCTGGAGGTTTGGCGTGTGCGGGTCGGAGGCAGCCAGTGCATCCGTGGCGGATGCAGCTGCGCCTGCCGGTGGAAGCGGTGCACTCGGCGCAGCGAAGAGCGGCGAAGCGAGGGGCGAGAAGTCCTCCAAGACGATGTGAAGAATGGAGAGTTGCACGGGCTCTAGCGTCGGCCCCGCCATTGGGGAGGCGTGAAGCCCGCGCCAACTCTCAAAATTGTTTTATCTTTTTTGCGGGGCGGGGTTGTGGGGTGGGGAGGGATGTCGGGGACGACGGGGTGGGGCGGGGCGGGCGCCGGAGTGGGAGTGGTGTGACTGCTCCTGTGGTGGGGGCGACGGCTTCTGAGGAAGCCGTCGCCCGCGCCTTGCCTGTCGCGCGAATCGTAAAAAAGAAAGAAAACAGACAACCCAAGGGAGGGATGGGAGGACGGCACGCCGCCACCACACAGGGATTTTAAGGAGAGGGGTGTGGTGCGCTAGCCGTCGCCCACCCTTGGGCGTCCGCCTCTTCCTATCGTAATAAATAAATAAAACGGGCACGCCAAACGAGGGGTGGGAGAAGGACAGGGTCCCCACCTGCCTGAGGGAGGGTGTAGAGGATGTAGAGTGTAGAGCGCTGTAGAGCTGTAGAGATGTAGAGCGCTCTGGAGCGCTGTAGAGCTGTAGAGCTCTACATCGGCTGCGTGACGAACTGCCTCCGTTGTAGAGCGATGTAGAGCGCGATTTTGTTGTAGAGTTTGTTGTAGAGGCTCTACAGCCCGAAACCGCCGGGAAGGCAGTGACTCAAAGAGGTCGAGTCGCACTAATGGGGTGTCTCCGAGCTTACTGGAGCTCTGATGGACGGCCCTGACTATCCCTGACACACAGAGAGTCACTCTGACGACACACAACACCCTATAACTGCGTCATGACCAGCCCGTCGCCGGTGCCGCATTCGTCGCTGTGCTTCTTTAGCAGGCGGTGGACTGTCGGCTGCGAGGACGGTCGCATTTGCGCGAGGCGAGGCGAGCATTACTGCGCGTTGCATGCGCCATGACTCGCGCCAGCGCGTGCGGGAGCTCCTGGCTGAGCGTTGAGTCCAGGCGAGTTGCGCTGGCCACTATCGCTACGCCGAGCCGAGCTGACGCGCCGAGGCGCCGGCCAGTCGCAGCCGCGAGGCATGCCACAGCAGCAGAGGCGCCTGCCACCCATTGGGCGGGCAGACAGAAGGCCAGGGCAGCACTGGCAAGTGCAACGCGCCTCATGTCGGAGAGCGACCGTGCCTCGTTCGCCGCTTATGATGTAGAGTTTGTTGTAGAGATTTCACGTTGTAGAGCGCCTCACATCGCTCTACAACGGAGGCAGTTCGTCACGCGGTGGATGTAGAGCTCTACAGCTCTACATTGCTCTACAGCGCTCCAGAGCGCTCTACATCTCTACAGCTCTACAGCGCTCTACACTCTACATCCTCTTACACCCTCCCTCAGCCACCTGCACGAGCAGGATCTTGTAAGGACGATCAGGGACACAGGGGAACGGGAGCGGGGAGCGCATCGCGACACGGAGGGGGGCTGGGCAGGGTTCACCCACACGACAGGGTCCCAGGGATTCCTCTCTCGTATAGGACAGGTTGCACCCGGCGGCACGGGGGCAGGCGCGGGCCTCCTACTGGTTGCGCTCTCCTAGTTCTCCTGCTCCTGACAAGGGACAGCGACAGGCTCGCAGCACGGTGGACTCCCTATTCCACTGGCGATCTCTCTCGACTAGCGACCTTCCTCCGGCTTCTCACCAGCAGTCTCTCACTACCACGGGCACACTGACAGAGGCGGCCAAAAGGCTCACGTGGGTGGCAGGGCGGTGATAGGAGTCTCCCACTCTGTGGGCTTCGCTAGAGGTGCGGCCCCTGCGCGTGTCCTCGCCCTTGGGAAGGGGCTGTGTGTGTGTGTGTGTGTGTGTGTGTGTGTGTGTGTGTGTGTGTGTGTGTGTGTGTGTGTGTGTGTGTGTGTGTGTGTGTGTGTGTGTGTGTGTGTGCGTGCCTGCGGGCGCTGTGCGAGCCGCCCTGAACGACCACAATGTTGAGCGCACTCGAGCACCGAAGCACCGCGAGCGCCGGCGAGCACCACCGCCCCGCGCCTTGGCGTGGGTCGGTAGTACACGATGCGGCGCCCAGCATGCTCTATCATGCGTCGCACCCGCAGTGGCCGAGCCGACCGCCGCTCGAACTGGCGCCGAGTGGCTCCCAGATCGAGCGCGGCAGGCTCAGTCGCACCGTCGCGGGGCGAACGCGTCTTCCTAAAAGAAAGAAAGAAAACACACAACCCTCCACGCGTCTTCCTATCGTGCTGGTGCCCGAGCAAAATTCTTTATCTGCCCTTCCAGACGCCGATGGAGCTCGACCTCGACAGGGCCGCCCGCCGCTTCGCCAAGGACACCTCCGCGCGCGCCAAGGAGGCGGCTTCCAAGCGCGAGAAGCTGCGCGCCGAGCGCGAGGCCACCCGAGCGATTGCGGCGAGGCGCGAGGCAGCCAAGGCGGCAGAGGAGGCTGCCGCTGCAGCCGCAGCCGCGGTGGAGGCGGAGCATCGAGCGGCGGATCTGGAACGAAATCGCGGCGTGTACTACAGCGAGCAGCTGCGGCCGATCCTGTCGCGCGCAGCCGAGG